CACACACACACACTCACTCACTCACTCACACTCTCACACACACACACACACACACACACACACTCTCTCACACTTACACACTCTCACACTCACACACACACACACACACACACACTCACCATTGCATTTGATGAGAAATATTCATAATGTGATCTCTGACATTTGACTACAGACCGTTTCAGACATTGCTGAGATCACTTGAAGGAGACACATGAGAGATTACAGTGAGAGATATGAGAGTTTTTTTTACAGGAGAAACATCTGAGAAGCCAGATAATTCTGTCTCAGACGTTTCCGTTTGCTCTCTGTGTAATCTCAATGCTGTCTAGGAGAACAGTGGAGTTAAAGGACAGATCTCAGTTGTGATCTTTTTTTACAGGAAAGACATGAATACAAAGTATCAAACCAGCACAATTACCACAACAGTGCAGTCATATTACAGGAATCCCTCAATGTAAGAAAGGGAAATAAAATAACTACCCAGCACATAATGACTTCTTGTGTTTTCTGTACTGTAGTATGAGAATCTGGGACAGAAGCGATTATAGAGACATATTAAAGCAGAACAACGGAGGCTTTATGAATATGGATTTTACTGCTGCATTTTCTGCATTTCATTTGGATGTGCTGTAGACACGAAACACTCCTCATTCTATCTAGAGAGATCATGTTAATCTCCATGTGGACATACTATCTCTGCTTTCTCGTCCTGAATCCAGTGTTCGCAGTGAAGCTTTACCAGCCTGCTGCAAGACATGCCAGCTCTGTCATTTTCTGTGTGTGTGCTGTTCCTTTGACTTGTGAGTGTGAGTTTATAATAAGAACATCTGTCCCTCACACCTTCACACAATTAGAGACAAATGACACTGCAAGGCCTCGTGCACACATCTGACGTGTGCATATTTACTAATGTTTTTGTCAATGATGTAAAAATAGAAGGGAAGCAAATGTAGGTCAGGTGATCGGATATCAGATCACCACATTCGAAAGCGACTCAAATTGGATGTGAAAAATGTGCATGCAATAAGACTTGCAGTGGAATAATCAGGTTGACAGTGTAAATGTGGCCTATCAGACAGCAGATGAGTGCATGCTCATGTGCTAAATTAATAAATGCAAATGTTCCCTAATCACTTCATTCAACAGAAGAAATTCAAGACTTAGCCATTAAAGTACCATTTTTATGTGTGCTGAGCAGATTATCAATGCATTTTAACCCTATAAAGCCTGACATATGAAAGAATAGTCAGAAAAATCTATTTCAATGGAACAGTTTAGTGAAAATATTAAATAATACACTATACTAAAAAATCTAACGTTTGCGTATATGTTTTATGTTGATATGCTTTTATGGTCATATATTCTGATGTAGTGATAATATGGAGGAAAAGACCCAAACTGAGCAAAAATATGTAATTTTGTGCAAATGCTGATATTCTTATGCCAAAAAGTAAGATGAAATTCTGAAATGTAAATCAATGAGATCTTTATAACAGTTACATAA